TGTGTCCTTTTTCTTGGTCTCCACATTTTTTATGCTTCCCTGTGTTGATAGAGTGGTTTTCTGTGCTGAGTGTCCTCTAGGTCCCAGTGCTTCCGCCTCCCCAATTACCTGAGGAGGACACTCGTGGTGCACCCCCTTGTGGTCAATTGTGCACAGTCTTGTTGTAGTTAAGCCTTGATTGTTGTAGGTATCACTGGGAGGAATTGGCCTCCAGGCCAATTGGCTATGAGAATCAGCTGTGTCTGCAGTGGGAGAACTTCTGTGCTGGAGACACCCCTCTGGGGCAAGACTTGCTTCAGTGGGGCTTTGGTGCTCACTGAGTCTGCCCCCTGAGTGTGGCCTTTATGTTTCCACGGAGCTGCAAACTCTGATCTCTGGGCTTCCTGGCTCCTGGATCTCTAGGGAGGTGCTAATCTAGCCTTTGCCTGAGGCTATCCAGCAACAACCTCCCTGCAGGGCTTGGGCGGGGCGGTTCCCACGGAATCAACAGGGTGGGGCTAGCAGTTATGGCTGCTCTCAGTCCTGCCCTCAGAGGCTTTGCTTCTCAATGTCCCGGTAATCGCTGCAAGCCCCTTGGAGAGGAAGCTGCTCTTGAGTTCAGACTGCTGCCAGACAGTCTTGCTTCTCCGGTATGAGTCTGGGTCCCTAGAGACTTGCCCAAAACTGGAGCTCAGAGCCTGAGACTCGTTCCTGATTGAAAACGACAACCACGCCCTCAGCCACCAGCCCTCTCCGTGTGCGCCTCTGTACCTTAGTATTTTACTTCCGCACTGTGCCTCCTCTGAGTCTCGGTATGCTTTTCTCTTTCCTTCTAGTTGTAGAATTTCCACTTGGCCAGACTTCCTGTGGTTCTGGGTGATGTCCGTTCCGTCTTTTAGTTGTATTTTTGAAGGGGTTGTGTGAGGCAGCAATCTCCAGTGTTTACCTATGCCACCATCTTAGATCTTAACATTTTTAATTTTATACTTGAGTTAAATTTTTTTATGTAAGAAAGTTTTATTTCTAAATATATTAATAGTTATATATTTTCTTTATCCTTTTTTAAACTCATATATTATTTTTAAATAAACAATACCAATATAACTGTGAAAAATACCAAGTTGAGATTAAAATATCATTATGGTTCTTTTTGTTCTTATATTTCTACATGGATATATAGTTTAAACACAGATTAAAGTTACTTAATTCAATTATTATATATACATGGTTATTAACCTGATAGACAATAAGCTTTTTTTTATGTGGGGGCATTACTTTTTTATAAATTATTACTATTGAATTATGAAAATAATTTTTATAGTTCCAATTAAAACTATACCAAGATACATTCATTAAAATCTCATTTCCATCCTGAGTTTTCCACACTGTCTTTCCTCTCACCAAAAGGTAGCCATTTGGTTTAAGTTAATGAATAATAACATTAAATAAATTAATTTTAGCTTTTATTTTTAATTAAGAGGATATATAAATTTATATTTACATGTCTGTGTGTATATACGCATGCAAATATATCTTCTAGTAATATAATTTTAAAGGTGTCCCAGGCCCACAAATTCTAATACAGTGAATATAACATGGTCCTTACAGGCAAAGAAAAATATAGTTTTGGTGTTTCCATAGCACTCTGTACCCATCTTCATGATAAAATTCAACTATCAGATTGTAATTTTTGTTTAGTTTCTACCTCTTCACCTATACTGTAAGCAATGATAGGCAGGAATGGAATTTTACTCAACCCTGTCACCTCAGAATTTAGCAGTGTTAGGTACCTAGTATGTGGTCTTAGATTGCTTGCAGATAGTGATCCCCATGGAAGGTTCACCCTGACTAACTTCAGCATAGGTCCGATTTAAAGAGCAATCCCCTAGAACTTGCTTTTTGAACCTGCACCTTGATTTCTGGCACAGAATTTTCAGTTCCTATTATTTCAATTTTAGCACAAACTTTCTGTAAACTAGTAATGTTTTCTTTCTCACTTACCATTTTTACTCTCTGGGCTGGGTGGTGAAACCCTCCCTGTTGCTGCGTAAAATAGAACTTTCCAAACGAGTGGCTAGCTTCGACCACAATTAACTACTGTGAGGTGATGTGGGCTCATAAAGGCTAAGTGGATCACAGCTTTCAAATCACTTAGGGGATCTTGTGAAAATGCAGATTCTTATGAAGTAAGTAAAGCCCAAGATTCTACATTTCTAAGAACTGCCAGGGGAGAACCATGCTACTGATTTGCAGGCCATCCTTTGAGTAGCAAGATAGCAGATGACTCACTTCACACATACAATCATCCATTCCTTAAACATTATTTCATTCTACCGTGTGCCAAGCACCAAACTAAGAAGCTAAAGAGCAATGTGACATAACTCTTGCCCATGGGAAGCCCCAGTCTAGTGTGGCAGCAAACACAATAACAAATGAGTGCTATAAATGATATGACCATTAACAAAATGAGAAGTCAAGCCATAGACTGGGCGGAAATATTTGCAAAAGACATATTTGATAAAAGATTGCTATCCAAATTATACAAAGAAATCTTAAAATTCAACGACATGAAAACAACTGGATTAAAAAATAGGACAAAGTACTTAACAGATACCTTGCTAAGAAGATACACAGATGACCAGTAAACATATGTAAAGATGTCAACATCATATATCATTAGGAAATTGCAATTAAGACAGCAGGAAACCAATACACATATCAGAATAGACAGGATCCGAACACTGACACCATCAGGAACCCTCATTTACTGCTGATGGGAAATAACATGGTGCAGCACTTTGGAAGGGAGTTTGACAGTTTCTTACAAATATAAGCATATTGTCATCCTATGATCCAACAATCACCTTCCTTGGTACTTAGTTGAGTTGAAACTGATGTCTGTACAAAAAAACTGCACACAGATGATTATAGCAGCTTTATTCAGTTGTCGACATTAGGAAACAACCAAGGAAATGAAAACTGTGGCACATCCAGACAATGGAATACTATTCAGTGCTAAAAAGAATTTTAAAAGACTACATGCAGTATGATTTTCCAACTATATGACATTCTGAAAAAGGCAAAACCATGGAGACAAGAAAGGGATCCTTATTTGCCAGGTGTTTGAGATGAGGGAAGGATGAATAATAGACGGAACACAAGATTTTTGAAGGAGTGAAATTTTCTGTACATTTTTATAATAAAGGATACATGTTGCCATACATTTGTCAAAACCTAGCAGGTTGGAAAAGGTTAATGGGAGGGAAAGGAGCACCTATGTAATACTTTCAAGAATAAAGAAAAAAAATAAAAGAATACAGCAAGAGTACATCTTAGCATAAACTAGGGACTCACTGATTATAACAAATGTACCACTCTGGCACAGGATGTTGATGACAGGGGAAGCTGTGCATGTGTGGGGGCAGGGAGCATATGGAAATTTTATGTACTTTCTCTTCAGCTTTGCTGAACCTAAAGTGGCTCTTTTAAAAAATGTGTGTGTGCTTTTATAGATTGATAGATATGATCAAGCTAGAGAATCAATTCTGGGACCTTGAAAGGCTTCATTGATGGGCAAAACAAATTATATATATATATATTTTTAAAAAACAGTGTTTGAGTGTAAGCACAGGCAGTTGTCTGGACAGCCAATCCAACTCTTGAAGAAAATGCGTCAGCAAGTACCCCCCTCATCTAGCAATAAGGACCATCTTCACAATTAATTAATTAAGTGCTAATGGGAGACAATGAGCAACAGTGAGGAATAGGTGTCCCTTTCTGAGACGCTTCTTGCTCTTCCTTCAAAGTCTTTTATTGGGATCTTTACTGTAGATAGGGTCCTGCATCCCCAGCACCTTGCCCTTGTCCCATGTCCCCGTCAGACTAGCCTCTGCACTGAGAAACCCATATCAAAATCATCTGGGGTGCGCTGGTGGGTGGCTCAGTTGGTTGAAGCATTGCCTCATATAACAAAGGGTTATGGGTTCTATTCAGGACACATACCTGGGTTGCTAATTTGATCCCTGGTTCTGGAGGGCAGGTGAGGGAGAGGCAAGTGATAGATGTCTCTTTCTCTCTCTCTCTCTCTCTCTCTCTCTCTCTCTCTCTCTCTCTCTCTCCTCTCGCATTGCCTCTCTCTCCCTTCCCCCCTCCCCTCTCCCTTCTACTCTCCCTAAAAATCAATGGAAAAAAATCCTCACTCCACAGGTGAGGATTAAAAAAATCAATAAAGCCCTCACCAGTTTGGCTCAGTTGATAGAGTGTCAGCCTGCAGACTCAAGGGTCCCAAGTTCGATTCCAGTCAAGGGCATGTACCTTGGTTGAGGGCACATCCCCAGTGGGGAGTGTGCAGGAGGCAGCTGATCAATGTTTCTCTCTCATCAATGTTTCTAGCTCTCTATCTCTCTCCCTTCCTCTCTGTAAAAAATCAATAAAATATATATTTTTAAAAAATCAATAAAAACATATCCTAGGGTGAGGATTAAAAAATTAATTTATCTGGGGTGATTTTTAATGTTAGGATTCTAGAGCCATATGCTGAATCTCCTGAAGCAGAATTTCTTAGTGCTGTGAGTTGATCATCTGCAATTTAGCAAGTTCTTCAAGTTATCTTTATGTGCCATAAGATTTGAGAATCACTCCAAGTTCATGTCCATGCACTTTTTGGTACAAAAGTCAACATTATATTTATTCCAAATAAGTTTTAATAACTTGACCTTCTTATTGGGAATAGTCAACAATCTTAAAATCATGGAAAATCATTAAATTATCTATTCTTTTTATCATATTTCATTAATGAAATAAGCCATGTAAGTAATACTGAAATAGATTTATTTACAAAATACATATATAACTCTGACACCTTTTATTAAGAAGGAATAAAAACATAAATGATTTGTGATTTTGGCAGCATCATACAAATATAAGTATAAATCATTAACAGAGGTGAAATCATTCTCAACATTACTGCAAGACATGTTAAGAATATTGTTAACAATATTCAGAAATATATATATATATATACTCATTATGAAGGAACTGTTCAGCTTTGTGTGTTTATCTGATAAGGACAGCTACGTGCATCCTCCCTGTTCTTCCTGTTTCTATTTTTAAGAATACCGCAAGCTATTCTAATTTATCTTTTGTACATAAGTTTCCTGTAAATGCAGCTTGGCTGAAAAGAAAATTACACAAATTGGTTGCTCAAATTTCTAGGAGCAATGATATTATACTGGGTGGATAACAATGACTCTAAAACAATACCCACCACCCCAATCTAAGGGTTAAAATTTTAACACCAGTGTTACATAAGAAATGCTCCACCACAAAATCTTTTTAGTCTTTTTAGGACAAAAACTTTTATGGGATGTCATATGCATATCTCCATAATTTCATACATTATTTTCATACATTTTCTTTAATAACTCATTTGCTCTAGTTTTCTGAGTTTCTTTAGCAAACTGAAATGGTATGTCACTTTTGTCAGCTTCTCTTTTACCATTTCTCTAAGTGACCCACCTTTCTTTCTAGACACTAATACATACACACACACACACACACACACACACACACACACCTTCACATTCATTTGTGCAGCAGCTCGTGTATTTGTTCAAATGGATTCTAACCTCTGTTGTCCGCGCTGTATGAGGTCTGTTGCATTATTTAGTAGCAGCACCCAAGAACTCTGATAGCCTGAAACTGTTGAATGAAGTTTCAGGCTATTTTTTGAAATAATTAGACTCAAGTATTCTGGAAATTCAGAAAACTGAAATCATAAATGCTTGCTATACTTTTAAGTGGCTGCAACCCCCATATTTAAAACAAATGGTTATCAAGCTCATACTATGTATGATTTGCCCTGATTCCTTACTAAGAAGAACAGCAAGATACAGATGTGGTGACTGAAAATATCTTAACCCATACTGGCCAACTAAATATTCTGGACTTTTCTCCATTCAACTAATTGTGCTTTAAGTTTGACATCAGGTCAACCATAAAGCAGTTTAAGCCATCAGTAGTCACCTGCCTGATGAAAACTATTCTCACTGATTTTTATGTTTATTCAGACACCCGCAAGTATATTAATTCAGCAGCAGCATAATGTCAATTCATATATACTAGACTTTGTAACCCAAACAGTGAGTCACCACATTGTTTATAAATGCACCATACATTAAATGCTCCATCACCACAGATATTTGCTTTGCAATCTAACAGGGTGGATAGAAGCATTTTTTTCTCCGGTGTTGGGAACATCTACCCACATCTAGTTGGTATATTCCACATCTTTATTGCACGATTTATTCTTTTCATTACTTTCTTGTATCATCAAGTCTAAAATGATTTCTCTTTTACATATAAGAAACCTCAACATTAGTTTGACAGAGGAAAATTTCTTATTATCAAAGATTGACTGGAAATAAACATACTATCCTTTCCATATTTATGGTTAGTTAAATTGGACATTCTTTTTCAAGAGTGTGTAGTGAACTGATGCAGATAACACATCTCTCTCTTCCCTACATGTGTTTCTGATAGCTCCAAAGAAAATATTGATTTTATATATTGGGTAAAATGTAGCTAAGTTTAAATGTTCTACTACACTGCTATTCATGATATCACTCAGTTTTGGAGAGGAGATGTTGTTCATGGCAATAATATAAAATCCTCCAAAAAAATTTTGTGGCAGAACTTAGTCATTTGTCCCACTGACCTTTAAGATCCAAGCTCCAACATGACCCCCCTGAAAGTGAATCTTCTCAGGTCAAGGAATATCATTTGACATTCTGTAGGTCTCAAGTAATGGGATGGACATGCTGATCATCCAGTGACCACTGGTGGGAGAGCGGGACGAGAATTAACTCCTCACACATATGGCTGCATATTCTGTAGGTGCTTCTTTCACATTTCTTGCCTGCCTTGAGTTCATTTCAATGACAGAGTGGTTCAGCGAAGCATAAACAATGCCCTGTTTGTTTTCCTCCAGACGTGGGTTAGAATAAACCCCAGACTCTTCCTGGACACTGACCCAGGGGTCATTATCATAAACATCAGTTTCTGATGGCAGTGTTTGGGGATTTTGTCTTGTGCCCACTTCAATTTGCTCACTTCTAAAGGGCCAAGAAACATCAACCTACAAGAGAAAAAAAATTGCTTTAATTATAATTTTAAGATGTGATGGTGCATATTTATTAGCAAACTATAAGTGCAGGCTAAATTGAGTCCTTATATGGTACATGGGGAGAAATAATGAACTTTTCCTCACATATGCTGTTGACATTTATTTTTTTTAAACAGATTCTTCCTTATTAAAGGATAAAAGCTTAAGGACCACTATGTTTGTCCCAAATAGTTACTTTGTGCTATATTATTAGTCACTTTTGAGACCACAGAACACTTTTAAATCCTTCTTCAAGATGAAAAGCGGAGCCCAAATTTATGAAAAAAGCACCAAATATTTCTCAGGGACTTCAGGCAACCTACAACATAATGGATAGTATTTATATGGTTTAGAATAAAATTATTAAAGATAAAGCAGAACAGATACTCTCTAAGGTGCAGAAAAAATAAATATTATGATTTATCCAAGATATAGTATTATAAATTAATACCTGGAATTGAAACCTCCTGGGGTTTTATTTTGGGGGGAGCAAAGCTTAGGAAAAGTTTAAAATATTTCAATTGTTATTTATATCACAAGAAAATTCTTATGCTTTCAAATAGAGTAAAATATCTTACAGAAAGCTTCTGTAAAAAAGGTGAACTTATGGAAACAGAGAGTAAATGGATCCCGATGTTTTGCACTCTTTTCAATTATTTGTTTGCAATTCCTAGTTATACATGGGGACTCAACTGGTAAAAATGAAGACGTTGTCTTATTTCAATTTTTTAAATCCCAAATTTGTCATTCATGTTCTTGAACTTTGGCCTAGCTGCTTTAAGGTATCAGATCCACAGTTTTTGATAGTCTATGTGCCTCATATGGGCCCTATGTTGTTTTCACTGCTATGTGTGCAGTGGTCCATCCACTTCTCCTCAGCAGAGTTCTACCACACAGGCGTGTGTGGGCCTGAAAGACTAGGTGCTAACTGCTGAGTACACTGCCTCCCTCTGATGAGGTGTCTGCCCAGGAAGTAACACTAAGGCTGGATGATGGAGAGCACTAGAGATTATTTTCAATGTCCCCGTGTCCCTGTCTCTTAGCTCAGATGAAAAGTGCTCCAACCTTCACGCAAAGGAGCCTGGTTAAAGTCTACAGAGGAGCGGTGAAGAAGAAGACTGCCATGTGACCTAATAGACATAAATATTCAATATATCAAGTTCTCTGTTGAATTTTTCAATCTGTGTCTGTCGACTGTTACCTGGCTTCTTCCCAAAAGATGTCTCATTTCCATGGAAAGCTGTTAGAATGAATGGGGTAAAGAAAACGTGGTGCTCTGTGGCTGAAAACTTATCCTGTGGGCACCTCATCAAAGGGTGGATGCACAAGGTGGATGCGCCCTGCTCTGGTGGGCAGAGATGGCAAATGTTAAAGCAGCTTTCCTACGCTGTATTTGTATGGCACTGTCCAGTTTACAACACACTTTTAAAAACGTGTTAAGACATAATTTGTATACCTTAAAAATCACTTTTTAAAGTGTACAAGTTAGTGGGTTTTAGTATACCAGCACTTTTATACCCTTAAAGGACCATTCTGGAATAAGATGAGAACTCTGGCTTTTATATGTGTCTGCCAAGTGTTTACCAGTTCCTTTCTCTACTTTGGATTTCTATTCCATGGTTCCCATACAGGTTCCTTTTTAAGAAATTTGTAGTCAGTCACAGAGATCTAATATGGCACCCTTTCTATTATTTTTTGAAATATTTGACAAATCAAAGGGGGCAAAACAGAATTCCTGTGAAATATATGAACACCTTAAAACAAAATTCCCATAGAGAGAATCTTGACTTTGGGTACTGAATAGACAATACAATATACAGATGATGTATTATATAAATGTAACCCTAAAACCTATATAACTTTATTAACCAATGTCATCCCAATAAATTCAATTTTATAAAATCCCAAATAATTGTACACATAGAAAAACCCCTCTTGAATTCCAGTTCAAATCATAAACAATTTGTCCAGCTTACACAGGAAGCAATATGGCTAGCTCTGGCTGGCGTGGCTCATTTGGTTGGAGTGTTGTCCCACACACCAAAAGCGGGCAGGTTCAATTTCCAGTTTGCAGGTTTGATCCCTAGTTGGAGCACATGAGGGAGGCAACTAATCAATGTTTCACTCTCAGATTGATGTTTCTCCCTCCCTCTCTCCTTCTAAAAAAATCAATGAAAAAGCATGTTTTTGGGTGAAGATTAAAAAAATATATGTAACTACATTTTGACCAACTTGGCCTTTACTTGTATGATAAATTATTTAGATTATTATTTTAAATGGTTTCATAGTTCTCAGGCCTGATTATAACAAAATGCAGTTTGTTGTTGTTCACTATAGAATGAAAGGAAATAATATTTAATGAAAGTTTCTTACTCAAGGAAACAAAATCTTAGCACCCATCACAATGATGTCTGCTGATACTTACTAGAAACAATACAAGTTTTTAAAGTTGAATGTATTTGAATTGATTTAAAATTAGGCAGCTGATAGTGAATGCTGATTGCCCTTTAATATTATATGTAGAATTATTGACTATATCTGCTGCTCACATTTCTGGAACTTTCCAGGTTACTACATCTTTATTTCTACTTTGTTTTACTAACACACCCACACGTACAGGCACACACACCAAGTTCCTTTGCAGTACCTCATCATGACTAAAGTGTTTTTTTATAGTTACTATAAAAAACCCTCACTCAAGGATATGTTTATTAATTTTAGAGTGAGATGAAGGGGGAGGGAGAGAGAGAGAGAGAGATCGATGTGAGAAATATCGATTAGTATCGCACCGACTGGGAATCCATCCTGTAACCTTTTGGTGTCCAGGACAACGCTGCAACCAACCGAACCACCCAGCCAGGGCAGTATTTCTTTTTAACAAAGAGTTTCATAAAAAAAAATTTCAGAAATATATCACCTCATCTTACATTCTTTTTCGAGTTCCAATATTTATACAATATTGAACCCAAAAAGGAAGGCTCAAGTTTATATTTCAAGAACTTGTCGGAAAACTTGGCATTGCCGCCAAAACATCTTTGCTTTGTCTGGGAGGTCTCCTCCTTGATGAGCCCACGCACATATGAAAGACTTTTGCATAGTAGCTCCAACTTCCGCCAAGCTTCTTTATCTGCTGGTGTGATTTACGAAGCAATCATATTTTATTTTATGGGGTTATTTATGGTTTGTTCCTTTATTAAGTCTCAACTCTCTTCCAGAAGGACTTTAAGGTATTTGTGAGAATAAATGAATAGCCTGAAGTCACATAACTGGCCAAGAGCAGAGCTGCGATCTATGGTTCAGTTTCTGACTTTTCTGTTTTGAGCCTGGACTGCCACCCAGGCTCTTCAAAAAAAACCCCAAAACAATAAAAAACCACGACTTAGTCTGAGACTTGTTAATCCTGAGGAATCTCTGTTGCAAATGGAGGTGGATTTAAAATAATCAATTTTTTTAAGTAAATCAATATATATAGCACTTGGGACATGTCTGGCACATGGTAGTGTTATAAAGACTCAAATAAAAAATATAAATATTAACATAAAATAACATAGATTGCATTTGTTTTAACAGATACGGTGAACATACCGGGTTATTTCTTCTTTCTGGTGTATTAGAAGGCTCCTTTTGTTCCCCTGGAATTCAAAAAGAAAAATAAGAAACTAAAAGGAGTAAAGAACAACACAAAATTCTTCCCCAAATCCCTGTAAGTTAGGGTTGTGGTAAGAATGTGGGTTCTGGAATCCGACCGCTAACTTGAAATTCAGTCCCTAGAGCAGAGGTGGAATGCCCCTCTACATATTCCCACCCACTTGCATACCAGTGAGAGCATTATTGTTAGTTTGGCTTGTTTATTTGCTGTGTCTAGCACGGTGCACAAACTCATTTTTTTGTGAATTCATGCTGCCCCATTTTCTTCACTTCTCACTCCAGAGAGCCCTCCAACATATTTATTCAGAGGCAGAGATAGCATCTAGTACATCACCTTTGAAAGGCTGGAAATCCTAGTTTGCGGACAATCTATACTCAGTGCCAGACACACGGCTGTCTGGGTCACCTGTGTAGCTAGAATTTCCTACCTCCAAGTTCACTTTGGATGTGGGAAGTCAAAGGATTTACCCCTGACTTTTCCTGAGATCTGAGAGAGGTCCCGACAGCTTCAGAAAACGTAGTGAAGCTTGGAGAGGGACAATGGAAAGATCCTGGGAGTTGTGGGTGTGGAATTAGGGTTACAGAAGACTCTCTCAGGAATCTGAGGAGGTTCTGGGCTCCAGAAGTCCTCACCGGAAAATACCAGAAACATTTCTGCCCAGACAAAGATTTCTTTTATGGCAGAAATAAGGGTTTCTTTGTATGACTTAGTTTCTATAGCTACACTGTGGCTGCTATTGTGGGAAAAGGGATGGGAGTAGATGGCAGAGAGGAACAAAGGAGAGAGAAAGAATAGAGTTGTTCAGACCAGAGCTAGATCAGAATTCTCCATACATCTGTCTCTTATGTGTTTAAGTGTTCCCTCGTGACATTGGGGGAATTCTTACAAAAGCAGAAGGGCATGGTTCAAAATATATCACACTTCCTCCGTCATGCAAACCCCATATTTTTATTACTATTGTTGAGCGCGGGCTCAGTTCAAGCATGTGTTTGTAATGGCGACAGAAAGTGCAAGCAGATGAATTTTCTCTGAGGACAGTGGGCCTTCAAATAGACAAGGGCATGTGTGACTGGCAGAGTGTGGTGTGGTGTGAAAAAGAGAATGAGACAGACTAATTCAAATCAGACATGCCGAGAGATTATTTCAACCTCCCTTTCAACACACTGAACATTTAAAAAAGCTTCCCGCACCGATCAAAGATTGACTCAAGTAGAATGAGTAAATTTCAGCAATGTTCCCTCCTTACCGCAACACTAGGCTGTGCTGTGGTGAGCATGTCTCACCATGACTAGAGGGAACCTAAATTAATCCATGAGGCTTTTTGGTGGGAGGATGAGTTGTTCTCCAGGAAAGCATTACCCACGGTTTGTTGCAAAATGTTGGCAAAGAAAACAACAGAAACCAACTACAAGTATATCAGTCCTAGTAGTTGAACCCTAAATGTGTGGCACAGAGCAGTAGAGGGAAGATGGAACCCACCTTGGTGCCTTTTCAGGCAGCAGAATAGGTAGAAACAGGTAACGAGTAGAAGCAATCCTCCCAAAGGAAGCAAACAATAAAGGACCAATGGTGTGTCCTCCACCTCCTTCTTGAAGGGTGGTCCTGCAGCACTGGTTGTATCTGAAATGTCAGTCAATGCTAAAGACAGTTAGGAAATCTGAAACATATTAGGATCGGCAACACCCTCTGCATTGTTAGAACTTGAAGAAAGAAGATGCCTCCATTTCCCTTCCCCAAGAATCCCAAGCATTAGTCCTCTCTCACTTCTTGCTTTATTGCTGAGCATATGTTGGTGGTTCTAGGTTACAATTTATTTATTTTTTGCAACAATTATCCTTCATTCTGCTCAGGTTGATCTCCTGTAAAACAACATCCATAAAGCTCTCAGAAAACACCTCACCAAGCCCTTTCCTTTACATTATCTTATTTAACTCATACTTATAACTTAAGAAAAGTAATAAAGTCATTATTTTTATCTAGCCCATGCCTTGAGAAGAGTTTTATTGTTCCAAGACTTGCCCCAGGTCAGACAGATACTGAGCGCACTTGGGACTCAAGTCAGCATCTTTCTGATACTTGATTCAAGTTCCTTTAATACAACGCCTTTTAATTGTCTCATAACTCTTTATTATCTCCAAATACCAAATACTTTTGGTTTCTCCAGATATTTTTGACATCTTCAGATATGGTTTGCTGGACATATAGCTAGTGCTCATTACTTTTGGTCAATGTTAACATGCATTAAGGCCATGTTTGTCCATGATAGGGTGCAACTTAATTTTGGCTCATGAAATAATTTAATTGATCACAAATAAAATTTAAAAATTAAACATTACAGAATAAAAATATCAGAATGCATCATACATCTTTAATTTCATACTTGTCTTAATTTTTTATGCAGAAAAGCTTTATTTCTAAATGTATTAATATAGTTACATTTTAGTTTCCCCATATGCTTGTTTGGGGGGGGTATAGGAGCTACTGGAACTGGGTATAATGTGGTTTGAAAATTCAGAGTGGTAACAAATGTTGTATTATTCATGCTGCAGCTGCAGGCACAACTGTCTGGGAGAGGGGTGTGGATAGGAATAAGAACGAAGGTTCACACAACAGATAACCTAATACAAACAAATCCATTCAATTAAGAAGATCCAACTTTTATTATTTCTACAGCCATCAAACAATCTAGTTCCCTTAGTTTTACTTAACCAGATTGATACTTACTTATTAGAGGATGTTCTGAGTTATTTCGAGTCGATTCTGAAATAGAAAAACAAGGTAAGTTTTGAATTTGGTTGTGAAAAGAATGCGGGTGTATATCAGGTATGTCTAAAGTCAGAGCTAGTATCTGAGATGACTCCTGCATTTGCATATTAACAGAGAATCCAATAATCCAGTAAAAGGCAGTTTGTGTAATTTGTGAGTAACTCTGAGATCATAGACACAAAGGAAATTACTGGGTTGATTTTGAGGCTCAAAGAAAGACTGAGTAAATATGTCACAACCTTCATCTGTCTGCTCTGATTTCCTCTTCCTCATTCCTTAAGGATAAGGACACAGTACAACCTGTATGACATCTTCTGGTACCGAGAATAACACCACTGTGCCACTGTACACACACTCAGCAGGTGTTACAAGTGAGTGTGGAAGGCCACATGCTTTTGATGACATGTTGAGCACTCATTCTCAAACAAAGATAGTCCCTCTCACTTCCTGCCTACTCATACCACCCACACATTCCTAAAACAATGATCACTTGTCTTTGCAAACTTCCGAATCAGGAACTGAGCGAGGGCAGATTGGGAAGGGTGGAGTTGCAGGCCATTGTATGTTCCAGTGACTGTTCCCCAGCTCTGTCAACTTTTCCTCTGGGACTTTGCTCTGCAACGTGCATTGGTTCATTCTGGAAGAATAGTTCCCAACAGTGTCCAAGCCCCTGCTTTTCTTCATCCTTGTTATTACATAGACCAATTCTTAAGTTGAACATAAAAAGCAAGTGAGAATCAATAAATCGATAAACAATACTGTTGGCGAGAATGTGGAAAAAAGGGAACCCTTGTGCACTGTTGGTGGGAATGCAAACTGGTGCAGCCACTGTGGAAAGCAGTATGGAGTTACCTCAAAAGATTAAAAATGTAACTGCCACCCAGCGATTCCACTTCTGGGAATATATCCAAAGAAACCCAAAACATTAATTCAAAAGAATATATGCATCCTTATGTTTATTTCAGTGTTATTTACCTACATAATTTTATTAACCAATGTCATCTTGATAAATTCAAAAAAATTTTAAAAAGCGAACGGAATCAGATACAAAAATAGAAAATTTTCCAATATCCCCTTAAAAAGATATTTTAAAGGAAGAAAAGGAAATATTTTTTTTCATAATACATCCAAATATATTTACAAAAAGCATGATACTGAAATATAATTTCAAAGTATAGTTTTCTCCTTATCTTGTACTTAGTTCACTGAATACTTCCAGGAATAGGAAAAAAAGGAATTTTTCCTTGACCCTTTCCTGTTGTTTGCTTTTATAACTTCATGAAAGGAAAATTCCACTCAGTTAAAAGCCAGTTATTAAATAATTTATTTGACTTTTCGAGGTAGCAGGGATGACCCAAAGAATTATGACACAGTTCCTGCTTCCCAGAAAAGTATAATCCTTGATGGAATAAAAGACATATCCACACATTATTTTAGTACCAGGGGATGTGTGATAAGTGAGAGGCACAGACCTTCAATAGCATAAAAGCAGCTAGAAAAGAGAAACCACTTCCACCCTGACCGGTTTAGCTCAGAGGATAGAGCGTCGGCCTGTGGACTGAAGGGTCCCAGGTTCGATTCCGGTCAAGGGCATGTACCTTGGTTGCGGGCACATCTCCAGTGTGGGGTGTGCAGGAGGCAGCTGATTGATGTTTCTAACTCTCTATCCCTCTCCCTTCCTCTCTGTAAAAAATCAATAAAATATATTTGAGAGAGAGAGAGAGAGAGAGAGAGAGAGAGAGAGAGAGAGAGAGAGAGAAACCACTTCCTCAAGGGTGGACATGAAAGTTTTCATTAAGAACTTGGGAAATAAGCTGGTCTTGACAGAAGAGGTAGAATTTGATAGATGGAGGCAGATGCGTGGGGGTCACAGGAGTGGTGACAGCGGCATTGGAAGGACCAATGGTGAAGATATGGCAATGGCAAGTAGGGCTGTCAGGCTGGAGTTGAGTGTTTCTTTATGGAATCCAGAAACAACCCAGAAAGATAGGTGGGGATGCACTGTGGAAGGCTTTGAATGCTGGGTAACAACCTTGAGCCTAATGTTATAAGTGCTGGGGATGCTCTGCAGGGGACACAATAAATGATTGGGATTATGAGCAAAGTTTATTAGAAAAATTAAGTGTATCAGGAAGATTTTAGGCTGAAATGAACAAAAATTGGAAAACACTAAGGAAGAGGAGGTCATACAATAAATTGAAATCATTTAGGAGGAAGATAATAAAAGTCAGAGATGATCATAGAAGCTGTAGGAGGCAACACATGGGAGAGTGGAAGGTTGTTGACAGACAAAAATAGAAGGCCAAAGAAAAGTCCTGGGGAATTCCCAATGGGCGTCAGGAGTATTAATTAACAGAGTGATAATAAAAGAAGTGAGACTGGCCCAGTGGTTTAGCATCGACCCAGGAACCAAGAGGTCACTGGTTTGATTTGGGTCAGGGTACATGCCCGGGTTGTAGACTCCATCCCCAGTACAGGGTGTACAGGAGGCAGCCGATTGACGATGTTTCTCTCTCATCAATGCTTCCATCTCTCTATCCCTCTCCCTTCTTATCGCTCTAAAAATCAATAAAAACATATTTTTTAATAAATAAATGAAATGAAAAGAAAGGAAGGAGAAAAGAAAATTAGGAGAGTAGAAGTCTTCAAAGAGAAATTTAAAGGGCCTTAAATGTCTCTTACTTAGCTCTTAGGCCACTTCATCCTTCATATTCTTTGTCCCAATCAGAGCCTAATAAAAAGCATATCTCCTCAGGGCACAGGGTATAAGAGGGGCTGCTGCCTCCCTTTTCCTCTGAGGTTAAGCTCCCTCCTCCACAGGAGAGACAGATTATTATAGAAACAGATTATTAATCCTAATTTTAGCCTTGACTTGATTCCCTAGAATAGGCACTTTATCAACTGCATAACCATCTGGAGTGGTCAAGGAAAGACCCAAATATGGGAGAGACATTTGCCTAAAGTCCTCTCTCTTATACAGAAGTGGATCGGTCTCTCAAGGAAAGACTAAATCGCACAAGAAGGCTCTCTTCCAAGGGAGGTGGACTTGATATCACTATATTTAATTTTGTTTATATATTACATTAATATACATTATATAAATTATCTAGTAGTGCTTATTTTACATTTAACAGTATAACTAATATCATCCAGGAAGTAACATTTTTGTAAGTTTTTCTTTTTGTTATTGTCAATCCTCACCCAAGGCTGTTTTTTTCCATTGACATTTTAAAGAGAGTGGAAGGGGAAGGAGAGAGAGAGAGAGAGAGAGA